GTTGCCTTCCGCCCGTGTTCTTTCCCCTCCTTCCCTTTGGAAAGAGCAAATTTTTGTTATATGAGAGAGCCTTTTTGTATAAGCTTGAAGCCTCTCATTTGTTCATAGTACTTCAGGTCCAGACATTGGCAATGTTACATTTCCGTGAGGCCACAAATGCTTACAGTTTACTTTGTCCTCTCTTTAAAAAGAAATCTTCTCCACCCATTTTTCTGCCACCTTATCTGCACATTGGGAAAACAGGCAGTATGTTTATTGCAGAGAAGGTTAAGTTTCTCATGAGTTTTTAGGTCAGCAGTAGTAAAGATCCCATCTTCTGTACTCTACATTTAAAAGCAAAACTGTATGAAGCTGGAGAAAAGAAGGAAGCTGGAAGCAGCGAAGTAAGTGCTGGGCTTCTATGCATGAATGTCTTTTTGTTTACTTGATTTTAATTGTGACAGGCTCTCATGGGTTTCTTAAAAGATCTTAGTCATAATCCACCCCTTTATTACATTTTTTTCCCATGCTGCCCAAATGAGTAACTGAGAACAAAGGTCCAAAGTTATTCACAAAAAGGCAGTTTCAGGAATAACTCAAAACAGTGTTTGGCAGCTAAAGTTTAATTCTGATATCTGGGTGCTTCAGAATGAGGCTTTCATTGTGCTTCTCAGACATAGTCATCTATTTGTAACTCTGCTTGTTTTCCTGCATCTTCCTCTGTATTATTTCTTCCCCCAACCCCCCAAAAAATTAAATATGTGAAGACAGTGATGATGCTTCTCCTTTAATCCTCTTATTCTAGGCCAAATCTTGCATTAGAACTATTAGCTTTTTTTTTTTAAGTTGCAGTACCCAGGAACCTAAACAAATCACAAACTGAGATCACAACCCAGCCAAAGTTAAACATTTCCAATCCTATTAATGAAATGCAAGAGATTATTTTCACTGTTTTTACCTGCTTTTCACCAATATCCATGAGCCTTGAAAGAGCTTAATTTTATTTGTACTGGGCAAAGATATTTACAGCTGTTTTATTATTTTCAACTTAGTGTCTATGTGATATGCATACACTCACATTCACATTCAGCTTTTTATCAAAGAAATTGATTTTGAAGAAATTCTTCCAAAAATTGTAACCTCCTTAAAACATGCAAATCAAGAATATTTTTATAGTTTAGTTCACAGCATTTAGACATACAGAGAGCTAAGCATTTGGATTTAATGTTCTGGAAATTCTGTCCCATCTCTGAATCTAGACTGTACAAATTTCACTGAATATTGGCTAAGAGCTAGAAAGTTGCTTTTAAAATAAGATAAAATAATGGAAGCTGATATTTTTAGGATTCTGATATCTGCATATAATATACTGACTGAATATTACTATTTTAAAATTAAAATAAAGATTATGTAGTTGAAATTCAAAAGTTGAATTGTACAATGAACCCAAGTTGTCTCAATAGTGATTTCAGGCAAAGAAGTTGCATACAACTGATAATTTCAATAATCTATGGAAAAGTGAATTAAAATTCAATGTAAACATTAGTAATACTTCAAATCTATCTAATGTGTGATGGGAATGAGACACAGCAAGGCGCGGTGCAGGCTTCTGTCTCTTTTCTGGTGTAGCCATGACACAGCATTGAATTCAGAAGCTAAGTATATCAAAACTGCCCCAGTCTTCCTATCCTTAGTTCTTAAAGCATTTGATAGAGTGAGAGATACATTTCTTTAAAAGTTGTTATTGGTAATGGGATTGCTAGATTTAATCAGATACGCTTACCAGCACAAACAATAATTAGATCAGTAATTAATCAATAAGTCACATTAGGAGTTTTCTCAAACATCCATGCTTAGTATAAATATTGAATATCATTTAATAGATCTGCAGATCATTGGTGCATTTTTTGAAATCCACATGGAGATATCATAGAGTTAGAAGGAACCATTTAGGCCACTGAGTTAATTCCCTGCTCAAAGTAAAAATGCAAAGCATCTATGACAGATGGCCATTTATCTTCTGAATAAATCTACCAAAGGAGAATACACCACCTCTCTTGGTAACTGATTCCACTGGCAAAACTGCTTTTACTATTAAGGACTCTTTTAGGGTATTAGCTATCTCATCCAATTCGTGTCACCCACAGATTTGAGAAGCTTTCCTTCCAATTTTTTGTCTTAGTCATCAATAAAAATATTGAAGAGTAGAGAATCCAGAACATAACTTTGTGGCACCATATTACATACCTTTCTCCAATTTGATGAAGATCTTTTGAGTGTTCATTAGCTACCTCTTTAAAGCTAGCTTTGTAGCCATTTAATTGTCATGCCCATACATATCAAACTTATTAATCAGAATGGCATGGGATATTTTGAAAAACGCCTTGCTGAATTTAAAATATATTACATTCTCAGTATTCCCATCTATTAAGAGAGTTATCTGATCAAAAAATGAGATGTTAATCATGCAAAACCTCTAGGCAAACTCATGCTGACTTCTGATGATTGCCTCATTGTTTTCAAGGCACATGCAAATACTTAAAATTTCCCCAAGTATTAATGTTAGACTGACTGCTCTATAGTTCCTGGATCCAGTACAGTTCCTGGAACCTCTTTCCTCCTCCCATACTATATAAAGACTCAACCAAACCATCAGCTAGTACCTGGGATGCAGCTCATCTGGCCTTGGAGATTTCAATTTAGTCGAAGTAGACAGATCTACCCTGGACATGTTTCCCATCATCTTCATGTTTCAGTCCCTCCCCTTCATCTATTTATATTTATATTGTTTATGTTCTTATTGGAGAAGATTGAATCCAAGCAAGAGTTGAGTAGCGTTGCTGTGTGTGCGTGCATGTGTGTACTACCTGTTAGCATTTTGCCATCTTCGCTCTCCAGTTGATGTCCTGACTGATTTCTTTTATTTTGTACATATCTAAGGAAACTATTTTTGATAGTCTTAGCATCTCAGCTCATTCTAAGCTTTCACTTTTCAGGCACCAACTCTACAATTCTGGGCTTTTTGTCAGTATTCTTGCTATATGTGTTCGTTGTTTTAAGAACTTCACTAAGCTTTTTGTGTAGCCACACTGACTTCTTCCTCATTGGAATTGTTTGCAATTGTACTTTTGGTATTTCCTTTTTTAGGAATTCTCCCCATTCTTTCATTCCTTTTTCCCATTAGCTTTACCTGCCATGGAAACTTACCTATCATTAATCTGAATTTATTAAAGCCATTCTGAAATCCAATATATGTATTTAAGAACACAGCTTTAAAGTCCCTTGAAATTGAAGCTTCAGCATTACATGATGACTTTCTGCCAATATTTCTGCTACTTCCACACAGCTAAGTAGCCTTCCCTATTGGTTGATATAAGGCAAAGAAAGATTATCCTTGTATGCCTTCCTCTACCCTCTGCAATTTAATTGAAAATTAAATAAATTTCATGCAATAGCAAGTTTAGAACCTAATTTTCATGAATCACCTTCTATGTTAACATTACATAATAAAGAATCAGAGAAACAGATTCAAGACATTACTACCCTTCAAATATCAGTCCAGGTAGATATTTAAGTGATTATTACAAAAGTTCAGCATCCGTTAAAAAATATGACCCCTTCTGTGCAAGATTAAAACAAGTCTTAAGTCATAGCAATCTCTTCCATGATCATTCCTTGGTAGAATTGCTGCAGTTAAAATGACTATATTTTCTAAAATCCTGTTTTTGTTTTGAACACTATTGATTTATTGCTACTGCTTGGCTTAGTATGTTGCAAGGAATTTTTCTTCATTTTTATATAACTATAACAAATGTAGGATTAGGCAAATGTATCATAAATTCAAAAAGAGACATACTGATGAAAGCTGATACCTGAATAGTGCAGCAAAACTTTTAAGTATGTTGATCTTAATTTCAGGGTACTTCAACTCTGCAGCAGGTAGCAAAATGTCTTGGGTGGCCAGATTTTTCAACTTAGCTAGATGCTTTATATTTGGGGGCGGATGATAGAACATTCCTATTTTTTCTGTGTATTTGAATAGATAAACTATAATGTGATGTGAGCCCTTACTGATGCTTTGGCTAAAATTGTAAATATTTTGGCACTGCTTTAGACTATTTTTTTTTAATTGCATTACAGTGTTAATAGGTTTTTGACATTTTTAGGACTAGTTAGCTTTAAGTTGTGTTTGAGGTGAGGAATAAGATATGTTTAATATTATGATTATTGAGCATAAGCGATCTACCTATGGGAACCGCTTTCCACCTACAGAGTACGTGTGCTAGATCTGTAAAGATGTATGAAGAAACCCATATGCTAAAAATAAAATCCTTTATCTCATTCCTCTGTTATCCCTCTGTTATTTCCTGCTGTTCAATTACCTTCTCTGTTCTTTTGTTCATCTCTTCTTGTTCCCCAAACCTCTTATGCGTTTTCAGACTGGCAAAGGAAGTTGGGGTGAACAGAGTAAGGACTCATTTTAAAAACATATGCAAAATACCCATTCTGTAATTTCCTGAGTCTCTGGCATCAGCATCTATCTGTTCTTTACCAGGCTGATCAAAGGGGGCCACAATTATTATGTGTTTAGTAGTGTAATACTGATGGAAAGTCATTTTACATTCAAAAATTATTGTATTTTCTTGTGCAGCAAGACAATAAAATTGAAACAGATATGACTGCAAGAAATACTTGTCCTGACCAGAATCCCCCCCCCCTGCAAAAAAAGACTTTCACATGCTCATCCATAACAGCTGCATTTTGTGTCAAAATTATCAGACAAACATGTCCTTTCTGAGTGGTTAGAATGTTTGGGAGTATTCCATGACATCCTAGCAGCTCAGTTTACTGGTGGATAGAGGCATTTGCTTTTGGCAGGAAGCAACAGCTGCCAGTTCACTCTGTGACATCACAGCTGCAGAAACAAAGGCAAGCCCTTAAGCTGTTATTTATGTCAGTTTTCAACAGCCTTGTTCTTTAACCTATCCCCAACAATATCACTTAATCTGTTATTTCTCCAGAGTGGTGGCGGTGTCTCGATTCCAGCCATGAAGATGGTCAATCCAGCATCACGGCTGAAGCAAACCCAGCAAGGCAGCCCAGACAAAAGCAAACACATAAAGCAACGCATGGAATACATGCGCATCCAGGGACAACAACAGGTAGTTTATCTGTAGGCCACTTTGCCACTGTTCTGTGAGAGTACTGGGGTGGAGGCAGGATGAGTTAGAAGCTCTTCATTTTGGCACTTGGGCGAAGAAAAGTGGAGTACTCCCAGGAAAATAGTCCTGTCTCTCAGGCTGTGGATGGGTATAAAGAGAGGCACATCTGCATCTATTTTGAATACTGATTCTTAATGGCCCTTCAGATTTGGAATGTGGTTTTAAAATTATATTTGGGGCTCATCTTCCTCCTATGTGGGGTGGTCCACAATAGCTTATCGCTGCAGGAATTTCCAGATGAAGGGATACTTACGCATTTATTAACAGTGACAGTGGAAGTAGAGATGATTCCATTGTCTGCAGGTGTACATACATCAGATGCTAGAGCTCATTCATTTCCCAGATGTATTGTGAGGTCAAAACAGGACTCACTCTTCACCCAAGCTTTAGTCAGTGTTCCTCAGTTGTTAAGGGCCATGTGCATGTATCTTCCAGAAGAGTCACCCAGATTCCAGACAACAACTAGAATTCACCCTTTCAGTATGCCTGGCATACTATAATAACCCAAATTTAGAGGTGGCCTAAGGGGTGCTATTGAAAGGAAAACCTTCTGCAAGAGGTATAAAAAAGTCAACTGACAGCAACTCTGCAATATTTCTTAACTAGAAGGTGAAAAGCAATGGAAAGTTAGAGCAATTACAACAGATGCATAACAATTGCTTGGGGAAAAAACCACATTTTTTAAAGCATGATAGAAATGTACTATATTAACCATTTACACTAAGAAAATATTGAGTAGTGATAACTTTAAAATGAATCCTCCAGATAATCAAGAAGTACAACCAAATACAAGTTCATCTCTCTTTTTTCATGTAAATATAGTTTAGGTCAATTACTACCTATACTTTTGAACAAAATTATTTTATAATTCATTTTACTGGATTAATGATAGATATTTGGGAGGTAATACAAAAATGGATGAATGGTCCCTGAGAGATGCAACTGCGGCAATCTTTTTTTTCCTCAAGGGATCAATAAGAATTCCCACGGAACCTAAGCTTATTGTTCCGGGCATTAATCTTTCATAGATGCTGCAGTTTGTATGCCGGTGCTTTTTTTTCATTGACTTGGAGGTGGAATTTTAACTCTTTGCCTAGTTCTTTGATTCTTATCTGGATTGGTTCCCTTGGGCATAAATTGACATTTATTTATTTTATTTTAATGATTCCATCCTTTAAAACAGTTTTCTCAGGACATCTTCCAACACAATAAAATCACAATTTAAAATCTGTAAAACTAAACAATGATCCGCCAGTCATTCCCCATGGAGAACCCAAACAGAGCTTTTTCCCATGGAGGTATGTGCTATTTATTTAATTAATTTGAAGGAACTTAAAACAAAATACAAAATCCGCTGGCCCCTTTATCTGTTTAAAATTTTTATAATCCAAAATCTTAGTAAGCTTTTTGCTGTAGACTAATGTTTAAATCCTTATGCTTTTTTTCCTGTTCTTTTCCTTTAAACGCACCCCAGGTCGTAGGAGCACTCACTGGGTAGTCTGGTTGCTCTGCTGCTCTGAAGATCTCTTTAGCTTTTAAATAATTGTATTCCAAATATGTTTAAAGAGGTGGAGTAGGGTTGGACCCAATGTCCATTAAGAGCTCTGCTGAGGCTGTAAGCTTGATCTTCCTTCCTTGGCTCCCGGCACTCTTACTCATGAGGTGCCTCCAGAGTCCCTCCTGGTCTTGCAGGCTTCCTCTTGAGGAGCTGCCTTCCAGAGCATACATGGGCAATCTCTTCGGCTTCTTCTTGTTTGGAGAAGCTCCACTGGTCTGGGCTCGTCACCCAGTTGCAGTTCCTGGCCTCAGCATTGTCTCTATGTTTTTGGAGGCATGTCTGTCCACCATTTTCTCCACCGCAAGTAGATAGATTGGTTAAGCAATGTTGTTGCAACATGCAGAATGCATAGATTGGTTAAACGGTGTTGTTGCAACATGCATATGTAAAATATGAATATATTTAAAGCCTGAGAGAGAGAGAGAGAGAGAGAGAGAGAGAGAGAAACATTCTAGCACTGGAAAGATAAAGAAGACACCAATGGACAATACTCTAAAGCCAATGGGCTATCACTGAGAAGGCCTGCTCTTAGGCCTCAGTACAGGAGGGTATCATCAGAACAAGAGTATACATAGAATAGGGCCTTTGAGGAGGACCACAAGATTCAAACAGAAAGATATGGGAAGAGACATTTCTTCAGATGTTGAGGCTCTAAACTTTGAAGTATTTGGTAGATTAATACCAGCAAATTGAAACATGGACCATCAGAAAGGATGAAGAAAAATTGATGCCTTTGAATTTTGGTGCTGGAGAGAATTGTTGAGAGTATCTTAGACAGCAAGAGGAACAAATAATTCCATCTAGATGAAGTACAGTTCATTGGAAGTAATAAAATGAAGTGAAAGCTTAAATATTACAGACACATAATGTAGAAGCAAGAGTCTTTGGATACGATCCTGATGCTTGGACAAACTGAAGGAAATAGAAAGGAACTCAACAGCAGACAAGATGGCTAGATACTAACACTGATATCACAAGCATTAGCTGATAAGAATTCAAAAAAATCAGTTAGCTTCTTTGCTTCATACCAAACTGTTGTCTATGAATAGTAGGAAGCGATTGAACAAAACAACAATAGCAATGAACCAGCAATTTCAGCTAGGACCTACTAACAACAACAACAAAAAAGTAGCATAGTTATAACAGCCAGTTCCAGTTTTGGGTATCATATTTTGTATTAACTGAAGTTTCACGTTCATTTTCAAGGACAGTACCATGAGATATTGCTGAAGCAAAATTATGTCCATGCTGGACTATAGTTGATTACCAGTCGAAGCTGGTAAAGATCATTTCATGCCACAGAAGACTCTTGATCCTTGGGGAAATGCCAATCCTTCCAGAACAGGTTGGATGTCAGACATCTGAACAGATAAACAATCAGTTTATTGGCCCTGATTAAGCATTTCCACCATCTCCCCTAAATCTAAAAGTAGAAGAAATAGAGGTGCATGCCATCAGGATACTGATGGCACTCTACTATGCATCTGAAAATGATTTTCAGTGGTTTCATAGTGGTAAACAGTACGGGGGCTGAAAGGGAAGCCTCAAGGAATCCCTCATATAAACGTCATGGGGTTGGTTGAGCAGATATCCCTCATTGCCACCTTCTGATTATGACTAATTCAATATGAGCAGAACCACCACAAAGAAAAATCACCCACAACTGACTGAGAAAGAGGTAGGCAAGTAATCTAAACTGTGGAAGTATGACAAATGGTATTTTTATGAGAATGTCTTATTGTTACTGTTGTTATTACCATGATTCTGTCTTTCCCACAGCTACGAACATTTACAGTATATTGCATGCCTTTATAACAGCTGTGTTAATCTTTTGCAATGAAAACAATAGATGTTATGTGACTTGTCTAACTTGCAGCCGCATATAACAATTTTAATTCTTCTATATCAATGCCCCAGATTTCTCTCACAACTACGTAGGCAGTGAGGTTTAGTTTTTCTCATAGTAGAGGCAGTCCCAAGGAAAATTCCTCCCCAACAACGTAATTAGAAATAGGAAAACAAAAACCTCCCATTCACAGCATTAGAAACTTGTTTTTTCCATCTCTAAATGCAGCATACAAGGGATTTCTATTGGGACTGCAGTTGGGAAGTAAAATCCCTTTTTGATTGGAGCTTGATTCCTGGTGAAATCATGGATACATCCATGTAATTTTCTTGGCAACAATATGGAGCTGATTTATCACTGTCTTCTTCCAGGGTTTTTTTTTTTAAAGTTTTTTTAAATCTTCCCAATCTAAGATCTAAACTTCTCCTGCCCATGTTATGATTCTGATGGCAAGGAGGGCCCTAAGATTAAATTTTAGAAATTTCCAAATGAAAATCCAATGCACCCAATGAATACAATATTTATGCAGACACTTCTGTTCAGCATTAACATGTGCCTTTTCTATTTGAACATTAAATAATTGACTACCATGTTTAACAGTTATAGATATGCAATGCACAGAGACAGTTTTTGGTTCACTATTCACTGTTTGTCCAAACTTCTTGCCACCCTATTGTCCAAGTACATTAGTAATGGTTGGGGTCTTAATGGTTTGGTCAGTTCAGTTCAGCTGGGTTCACATGCTTCTGTGTTCTTGCTGATGCTAACAGTGTACCCAGTGGTTTGCCAACTTTCTGAGGCCACAAAGCAAGGTAACAACCACCATTTTTCCACCCCTTAAGCCACAACATATCTTCCTGTTTCTCCTCCCTCCCACCCACCCACCCTTTGTTCCTG